CCGGAGATGCCTTTCCAAATGTATCTGAATTGCATTTGGGAGACGGCGGCGCCGGAGGCAGAAGCAATCGGAACGGCGGCACTTCTTCCTCCCCGCTTGTTAACCCGTCCGATGTCTACAATGCGCCCGCCTCCGGCGGCGGTGCTGCAGGATTTCTCGGTGGCTCAACTTATGGTAATCATCCAATCAGCTGATAATTTCTTCTTATTTTGCCCAAATCAATGGGAGGCGGAAGAATCAGCAACTGTGTAATCTCATCTGACTTTTCTTTCTCTTCTATTAACTAACCAATCCATTTTTATTTATGACTCATCTTTTTTGGACTCATTCTGATATTGTATATCTCATTTCTTCCCTATTTTCACCATTAATGTCCATTATCTCTTGCTGAAGAAGCCATTTCTCAACACCAAAACGTTAAATTTATGATCCTTTTAATGTTGGTGGGAAATTTGGTGATTTCTGTTCCTGTTGGGGTAAAAGAAAATATGGCATGATGATGAGTTTGGCCTGCATGCTTCACACATTAGAGTGCCTTCTTTTTTTATTTTTCTGCCCCTTTATTCTTTTTTTGATCTCCAATTCTTCTGTAGGCTAAATCTACAGTAGCTGTGAAATTATTTTAATGTAAAAATCTGCTGATGATCATAGGAATGTGAGCCATCTTATCTCTTGTGTTCATATTTGTCTTGTGTGCGCCCACTGTTCACTCATGTGCTTAACAATTGCTTCTAAGTTTCTAATTTGGTGCCTTTTTAATTTCTACTCAAATCATTTGTATTTTGTCTTGCCAGTTGGGTTTTTTTTATCCTTGTATTTGGTTGGTTTGGATTTGTTCAAATAGAAGCTGCAAATTCTGAATTGCATAGCTTGGTGCTGGTCTTAGGCTTTGGCTTGGAGGGCTGCTGAGGTGTCACAATCATATGAAATTTAAATAAATGAAAACATCAAAATGATGTCTTTTTCACTTCACTGTTCCACTTTTTTAGTCCACTAGCATAACATTGTACATTCTTGGTTCTGTTGTTAACTTGTTGTGTCCAATTTTGATACATCCAATGAAATTCCTATGTTTTCTATCCCAAAGCACAAACAGGTCTGGGGGCAATCTTTCCATTCATGATGGAGCAAACTAAAAACTTTTATTTCCACTCTTCAGAATCTAATGCTTCTTCAATGTTCCATGTTTTCATGCCGTTCTCTCGGTTTTTCGAGTACTGTTTCGAGTCTACTTTCGTGAGTCTTATTGGCAGCGAACAGGTCTGCATCTGGGTTTGTTTGAAGTAAGTAACCCTTTTTCTCATGGTTATAACCTAAGATGTGAATTATTGTCTGTATTATTATTTCATGTTGACAAATTTGGCATCTATTTTGTCTGTTGTTTTATAGGCCAACAGCCCCTGTGGGGATGCTGAGTAAGCTTTTATTTTTCTATTGGAATCCTTCCTGTAGTGCCCTTTTTTCCTTGCATGCCATTGTTGACCTAATTCATTTATTATTCTAAAGTGGCCTTCACATTCAATGCTTGTTTCCTTTTGCATTATTAAGACATTGGATTGGAAAGATTTGCTCCCTAGATTTCTTCAAGAATAGTTTTGTATTATTAGTACCCTTTGGAACAATGTTTACATTTCAACACCTGCACACTCAGATTGTTCTGTCCATATATCAGCATGGTCATGCCACTGCCCAGCAACTACGCGGGATCTTCGGCGATTCTCGAGATCTCCAGTAAAAGTAATAAAGATAAGTATGTCGTTACGATATTTTTGTTTCAATTATCTGCTGGTTTTTTGTTTAGGTGTTATTTTGTGCTGGGATTCAATGTTTAAGGCTCTTTTAGTAATGTTCTTGTTTTTTTTATTTCTTATTTTATCGTTTTAAAGTAAGAAAAAGCACAATTGCATGTGGTAATTATTTCTCATTTTTTATTCTCTCTTTTATATTGAATAGAAACTAAAAACGTGTTTGGAAGCCATGTTTCTTGTTCAATAAAATTTTAAATGAGAGTAAAAGTTTTGTATGAAAAGTAATTTTTCAAAAAATTTATGTTATATTGATTTATTTGATTTTATTTTTTTTATAGAAACATTTTATGATGATATTTTAATCTATGTTTTTGAAAAAAGTAGAAACAAGAACTCCGAACTTGAATTTGTTGTTTTTAAATTTTCTACAGAATTTTTGAAACTAGTATTAAAATTGATAAATGAGAAACAAGAACTGTCACCAAACGATCACGGTGTTGGTGTTTGTCTTGGTTATTCATAGTGGGATATTTAATAGGCTAGAGTGTATTTAAATACACAGATTAATAAATATTTGGAAGCCATATATTTATATATTTTCTATTTTATTTCATTTTAATGATTTCTGCTGTCTTGTATTGACTCATTGAATGTTTCTTTATTTATCGAACATTATTGTTTTCATTACTTTCTTTCTTCAATTATTATTGTATTCAATGTTTCTCAGTTTGTTTTTCTTCTTTTCTTCCCCCTCTATTCCTTGTGTTTACTTTTTTTCGAGTTAAGCCCGATGGTCGGTTATGAGGCTTGAATATCTAATACCTCACACTTACTCGCACCTCTCTAAACACAAGCTTTCAACACATGTTATTCTGTATCATCGAACTCGAATTCAAACCGACGCGATCAATTGCATATCTTTGGTTTCTTGATTGATTTGTTGGACGAAATTTTTTATTTTGCCAAGAATTTGTGTGGCCTTGTTCATCATAGTCTTGTGATATTTTCATGTCTGTGTGTTCGAAATAATAGGTAATCTGAGATACTATTTCATGGAATAGATATTGTTGTGAATTGAAGAAGAAATTTTCTGTCCGCTTGTCACCTGGATTTTTTTTTATTGTTTTTATGTCTATTTTATATATTGTGAGAAATATTCTATTATATTTATGATGAAATAATTACTTTTCGATTTTTTTTTTAATGTTGTGAGAAATCTTCTATAAATGAGACAATATCTATGCTTTTTATAGATCTGTTTTGCATTAACGCTCCAGAAAAAAGGGAAACATGACCCCACCTTCACTTCTTTCTGTTTTCTATTTAGATTTTTTATTTTATTTTTTGAGGAAAATTTGTATTTTTTATTATTACTAATTTTTGGGTTAAATTTGACGCATAAGTTGGTCCTGTTTGGTTAATTGTAGTATTTATTTGTTATGCATTAATGTTAATACTACGTAATAATTAAAATAATGAAGGACTTGTAATGTTTTCTATGATTTATTTGGACAGAATGATTAATGCTGCACCCATAATATCGAAGGGGGTTTTCTTTGAATGTGAACTTTCTTTCAACTTGTCCAGCTTTATTTCATTATTCTCTGTAGCTGAAGAAATTGATACTATATGTATATATATATATATCTTTTTTTTTTCTTTTGAGTTCGAGAGAACGTAGGGGTGAGTATTTCAATGATAGACTAACATTTGACTGTAGTTAGAGGAATGTCTGGTTGATTGTGGATTCGAATTCTTACTTTGTACTATAAAAAAAAGTCGAAATATCTGAGGAATTGTAAAGTAAATGGATAATTTTTTAATACTAAATTGTTATATAGTAAGAATTCATATAAGTTTCAAAAAACAAGGATTAAATACTATACTTTTTCCCCGATGTAACTTTGTAGGGTTTATAATTGTTTTGTTGATTGTTTCCAAAATAATCTTATATAGTTCTTCGAAGTTTTTTTTTTCTTTTTCTTTTGTTGTTTTAATTTTAAATAAAAGTGTTTAAAAATAACTGAGTGGAAAATTGAACTCATAACTTTATAATTGAAAAAGGTTTTAGTACGGTTGAACTAAGTTGATAGGCAGTAAATTATGGAATTGATTACTGGAGCTTTGGGATCATTCTGTCATTCTCCCTATAAATGGAATCCTCCACGAGTAGCGAAGCCGCTGGTTCTTTTACTTGTTCATCTTTAAATTCTTGAATTTTGACGGAACCACCGGCCGAGTGCGCGTTATCTCCGGCGAGGTTTTGAGGAAATTATTTTGATCAATCGGTATGGGGCATTGGCATTGCATATACTCTGGAGACGAACAGAAAGAACTTATCGATTCTAACTTGTAATGCGAGAGAGAGAGAAAGAAAGAAGAAGATAGTTTCAGTGTTCTCAGAGATGACAAGGGACGAGGCATGAAGTTTGGGCTAGGGTTGAAGGCCAATTGAAGGTTGTGTGTTTCGTTTCCCGCTAGGGTTCGTTTGGCCAATTGCATCGCCATCAACTCTGCTGAGCCTCTGGGCAGGAGAATCTTCACTGCTGCAACCCTTTTTTTTATTTTTTTATTCTTTACTTATATTCGGGAAAACTTAAACAAACTTTCGATTTCAATAATTTAAACCCTAGCTCGGATACGTGTAACTTAGATTGGGCAATCAAGTTTCAATTTCTTTGCAATTTGTTGGGATTAAACAGGTTCTTCTAATTGTTTTGGATGCTAGTTGGATTTAGTTTAGCCACTATATCGCTAAATTTGAGTGTTTACATTTTTTACATGATTTGAAAAAAATATATTTTTACATGATTTTTAGTGGTTTGGTCAAATTTATCTAATATATTGGTTGGATTAATTTAGTTGAGTAGTTAATTGTAGTGTTGATATAACTTAATAGTTTAAATCTACGAAATTGAGAGTTTGTATTTAAGCTTTACGACGGGACAAACTTTACCAACATAACTTACCCTTTTAAATTTTGTTAATTACATTTCAAATATTTTTTTGGACATTTTTTTGTTAACACCAATATTTTAGTAATCTCTGAAATTAACCCAAAATAATAATAATAATAATAATAAACAAAGTCAATATTTTAGTAAACCGAGGGATTTTAACTAAAAATAAATTATTTTCTACAATGCCAAGATTTACTATTGATGTTTTTTAGATAATTCTGTAGAAATTGATTCTTTAGTAATGAAAATATTGGAGATTTAATGAATGATTTTCACATGCTTTAAAATTAGATGAATATATAATTATGTTTTTAGTCATTTGGAACTCTAAAATAGAGCTCATGCTTGGGGATGTCCAAACGAGATCGACGCATACTTCTAATCTTATTGAGCTGTCTTTACTTTTACTCTGATTCTTTTACAACTGAGAATTTCTCCACCAATATATTAAAGCAAACAGATCAAAAATTTTAATTTCCCTCTACTGTGTTTCCAAACTCAAAACGCTGATCCCAGTGAGTTCGACTTGTGCCGCAGCGATGTTGATCGCATCAATGACATCCATTTTCCCTCGAGTCAGAGCTTCATCCATGGGAGTTCTCTCGTGGCTACACACGTATAATGTTCAGGAAAATTTAGGTGCACAAGGATCCTTGTTATGATGTTTGAATTAAATCTCCCAGTTCATAAAAAAACAAGATAACATACCTGTTCAATAGGCTCACATTTGCTCCTGCCAATATCAACTTCTTCACCACCTAAAATAATGTGAAGAATTAGAGGGGAGCTAGATTTTTGTCAAAAAACACTATTGGCAGAGCATTACCTCAATATGACCATTTAGACATGCCCAATGCAATGGTGTATTCTTTTCTGTATTCAAAGCATTCACTGCCTGCTCACACTCGAAAAGGTTAAAAGAGACAATGGCAGAGTAAAGACTGCACAGGTAAATTTGCTTAAAATCAAAGGCTTTAAAATGAAAAGTTACAAGTGGCCTTAAATCAAAAGAAGAAGATGGGAGTAAATTGCAAAGTAATCAAGAAAGGCAAGTCGGTGCTCAACATACAAGTGAACAAACTGAATCGTATTCAAGAGAAGTGCAACAATTTGTAATAGATGTGTTGCATGAAATGGGACTAGTCCTTGAAAAACTTAAGATAGATAAAATTGATCAGTGAAAGAATTGCAGCAGTCCAAATTCATTCTCTTCATACTTCAACAAGATAAAGACGAGAATGATGACAGGTATTATTGCCATCATTATGGATAATACAAATGCATGAATAACTGATAGAAGAAGATAGTTTTTCCATGGAAGGGCCTATATACTCCTGTTTTAATCATTAGTCAACACAAAAATAGATAACATAAGAAACATCAGTTAGAATTAGAAAGAAAAGTAGATATCTTACCACTCCTTTATTTATAAGAAACTCTACAATTGAAAGATGGCCATTGGCAGCAGCCATGTGTAGGGCTGCAATCAAACATTAGGCATATCATAACCATGTCAACTACCAGAGATTACAATCAACAAGTAAATTTGACTACATTCTCATCTCAATATTACTCCATGATCATCAAATGGTCACGAAATTAGCAAAATATTCCTACCGGTCATATGAAACCAATTTATTATTATTATTATTTTTTTGATAGGAAAATGAAACCATTTAATATCTCATTGGGATCTCAACTAAATGAGAAACAAAGGCATGTCATCTCTTGAAAAACAGAGCATATGACTATGCCTGGATATTTCTCTCGTAGCAACGAAAGTAAAGTTAATATATAGATTGAATTACTAAAATATACCTAGTGAAGTATGGTCATGTTCAACAGAGTAACCAAGTTTTTTTTAAGAGAAAAAAAAAGATTTCAATAAAAAGATAATGAATACAACAGCATGGGGAACGTAAGTTTGAGAGTAAGTAACTCATCTAAAGCACAATAAGATGTGATCAAAGAACACCATATAAACTCTATACAGAAGAAAATTACCGCTTCGACCCTCGGAATCCTTGGAATCAAGAGAAATTCCCGCAGAAGCAAGACTAGTTACATCATTGATATCATTGTATCTAGCAGCCTGTCAAGAACCATCACAAATTTTAAGTCAAGCTGAAGCATACTCCTATCATTACCGGACTGTCAAAACTATCCATATTGCTATCTAGCTATACCTGAACTTTCAGAGTCACCCCAATACCTCCCACTGGTCTAATTGTTTCCGAGAAATTTTCTAAGTATGGTGTACTAATTATCCAAGATAATTTAATAGGTGAATTATTTGCAAATTCACAGTCGTCAGAATTTTAGCTGCTCATACATTTCCTTAGCCAAATAGCAATGAACATGTCTTTCATTTCATTATATGACCAGACAGTAACTTAAAATTGGAGAATGACAGTTTTTACCAATACGCTTATACAGAGGTTTATTTAGGGTTCAGTGATGTCCATTTGAAGATATCCAGGTTATAACTCAAAAAGCTTCAGTGAACCAAAGATATGAAAGATACTAAAAAAGATAACAATGACTGGAGAATCTTTTCACATATGCGTGTCTCGAGTGCAAATACCAAGTAATTTTTGCCATTTTAACATACGGTAAAAAAGAAAAGAATCCATGGTTTCTTGAATTTAGCACCAAAAACCTTATGATTCATAAGAAGAGAAGGTGATGCTCTGCAATGGAAGGAAAAGTAAAACCTTAATAGAAATGAATACAAAATCATGAGAGCCTTGTACTTCGAAGCGCTACACAAAGCAACCCAAAGAAAGAGAATTCTATTAAGCAGAAGAATGAAGATCTTACATCAACTAGAGCCTCGACGTCATCCATCGTCGTTTCCACGGTGCTTTGCTCCGCGGGGTTCGGTTCCACCACCATCGTGCAGCCGCCGGAGACTCCAAAGAGAAGAAACCTCGAAAATCTGGACGGTGACTCTTTCTCACGATCTCTTTATTCCTCTTTCAGCGTGAAGAGAGTGAAACTCACAACACACAAGAACCCTAAATCGGCGATTCTCGGAAAATAGAGTGAAGCATATACTGGTTACAGAACAGCCTACAGCCGCTGGTTTGTTCCGGGTCACCCGAGTCGACAGTTTGTACAGCGTAAGAACGAAGCTGACCGACCCGATAGTTTGTACCGAGTCACCCGAGTCGATAACCGACCCGATTGTTTGGGCAGGCCGAAGCTATATCATGGGCTAGTAACTAGGTTTGGGCCTGTTCATTATGATGATGAGGCCCAACTATAATGGGCAGTAAACTAATGCCCTCGAGTGAAATTGTTAGATTAACCATATAGCATCGTCTTAAATCAATTTTTTTTTCAGAAAAGTCTCAAATCTTTTACCGTAAAGTTTAAAAATTATTGTAATAAAAAAAAAGAAGTTTAAAAATTATTAATAAACTTGATATTAATAACTTAAGCACTTTTTGGTTTAAAATCGAGTCGGTTAGAGATTTTTTCCCTTTAACCACAGTCGGTTAGATACTTTCCTTTTAATTTTTTACTGTATTATAAATGACAACCAAAACAAGCAATATTTAAGGAAATTAATATATTATAAATTTTAAATAATTGATGCCATTTTTAATTTTTTAAACATTTACTAAAAATAAAATTATTTGTAATAACAAAATTGATATTAGTAACTTAACCTAACTTGATATTACGGTTAAGATACTTTCCGGTTTAAAATGGAGTCGGTTAGAGATTTTTTTCCTTAACCACAGTCGGTTAAAGAAAAGGAAAATTACTTAACTAAGAAGAAATTGGGGCCAAATGAAATCAGATTAAATAACAAAGATGTAACCCTAGACTTCATTTCACAAGTTGTGATTCTCCCAGAACTCTTTCGATCGCTAGTCGAGTATATTCTCGAGCATCTTTTATTTTCTGTTTTGGTCCAGAATAATTCTTCGGCATCTCCTTCTTGCTTTTCAAGATTTGATCTGTGCTGAAGGAGAGCCGTTTGTTTGGGTTCTGTGTAATTTAACTTCTTGACGAGGAAGAAGAAGGTTCAGAGGGGAAACGATCGACGACTACTCGCCATGACTTCTTCCGGAATCTCTATCGAAGGCGCCGAAATGTCTGATGCCGTTCAAGAATTAGAAATTTGCGATCAGGTCTTAATCTCTCGCATATTTCGACTTTGATCTACTTGATTAACGAACTTCCGATATTCAAGGAAATCAGGGGCTCAGAACTTTACGTGAGAAATCGTTGTCTCCGATTCGTGTTGGATGTATTTTGTTCTGAAGTCTGAGATCGATGATTTAGCCTGCTTTTCTTTAAGTTTCAAGATTTATGCACATCGGGAGTCTGATTGAAGTCTGAGATCGTTGATTTAGCCTTGTTTTCTTTCAAGATTTCCGCACATCGGGCGGCTTATTTCTGTTTTTAGTGTCGTTGGAAGTATTTGATTTAAACGAATTGAATTGATACGTGTGCTTACTTCTTGGGCTCTAAGGAATCATTGTTCATATTCATCGATTTCCGCTATCCGATTGGCAGTAATTAGATTGCAGTTGTTTTTTATTAGTGAATTTGGTTGCCTGCGCTGGCTTCTTTATTTTCCAAGAAAAAATTTCCTTTCTTGTAGTTAGAATTGCATGTATATGATTCTGTTGAAGCGTCCCTTAAGGATTCGCTAACTTTCTGGGGTTTTCATGTTTAACTTTTCTATATTCAGGTGAAAATAGGAAAGAAGGTAGAGATTCAAGGAACGGGGCATGGGAGTCATGATGGGGCTTGTGCAATTTGCTTGAATAAGATAGCTCTTCAAGAAACTGCCTTAGTGAGAGGTTGCGAGCACGCCTATTGGTTTGTTCTAATTGATTAATCTTTCTTTTATCTATTGATTAATACTTTTTGGAGCTTGACTTTTGTCCTGCTACAATACATTAGGTAATTTTTTATATGTTCCTTTCCTGTTTTTTTATGGGAATCTTTTTTGTTGTAGTTCTACAGATGGTTCAATGCTAATGCTGCTTTTATTACATATATTTCATTTCGTAGTTGTTATATGCTTATATTGGAGATGGAGTTTATTAAGTTTTACGTTTTGATAAACTTTATAGGAGAAAAATTTCACTGTATCCGCATTGCCTCTGGTGCAATGTTTCTGATTGTACTTTGGGTTTCTGGGATTTAATGGAAAAGGTACGCTATGTTAGATTTATAACCAGAGCACCTTGGAGTTAGTGAAATGTAAGGTACAGAAGTCTTATGTGTAATCTATAATTTGATTTTCTTTGAAAAACGAAGTATCATAAACTTGCAAAACTCTTTGTTATTTAGTTTTGTTTAATGGATTAGTTATTGAAGTTAGAATGCTTCCTTGGTGAGACTTGGGTAGAAATTTGTTATCCTCGGTCAGTATTTTAAGTGATTGGGTAACGTGTCTTGGTTCTACATGCCAGTAGACACTCCAACCTTACATTTGTTAAGTACAATGGACACATGTCAGACACTTGTTAAATTGGGTACTTATCAAACACGGTTGAACATTTGTTAAGTATCATAGATGCATATTGAACACATATTGAACAATTATTGGTCATTGGAACTCAAGTGTTCAAGCATATGTTGAACAAGGCTTAGACGATTAAAAGATGATGTTTTACAATGTCGTGCCAAGCTAGTTAACCTTTCTGCACCTCCAGATCATGTCATTTCATTACATACTTTGATGCATTTCATGGCTGTTGAAAAGTTCCACTTTTTATGTTTTTATACTTACTTTTGGGAAGATTCCCCCTACTGCTGTTGCAGGGAACACTTTGTATATTTTCCACTTTCAGCTGGGAAATTTATTAGTAATAACTAAACCAAACAAAAATCGGAGAGGCATATGGTTAATGCAATTGTCAATTGTTTTGTAACCACTCAAGTATTAGAAAATTTTCCTTGTTATGCTTGTGAAATGATATTGCCTTTATAGTTGTACATATGGTAATTATCTTCTTTCATTTATCTATTATTTTGTTTTTGTGAAGTGTGACTTGCATCCTTCGATGGGCCTCGTACACTCAGAAACCGACTTGTCCACAATGTAAACATCCATTTGAGTTCTTGATTGTGCATCGTTCTCTTGATGGGGGGTATGTGTGTACATATTTTATAGTGATCTCCTAGCCATTAGCTTATTTGCTTTCTCTGAGATCCTTTAGTTTATTTGATAATTATCTTTTTAAAATGTGATCAATACTACAAATGTGAAATCATTCATCAATAACATAGTACGAGATATATATGTGATTCTCTTAAAATTTACATTTGGAAAGGTAAAAAGGTCCATGTGTACTTTATATAGAGGAAAACTATGGTGAAGGGCCGTGGCACTGAAAGTTTAAGTCATGCATGCTTATCTGTTCTTTTGTACAAATTTGGGGAAAAACAAGGATGCACTTTTCATAGGAAAATAATAATAATAATAAGTTCACTTTATCTCCTCCATCATGTCAAGTATCTATTGTCTATATTGCCTTTGTTTTATCTTCCATTTCTTTTTTATGAAAGCTTAGTTTCTTTTAAAAAATTCAATTATCTATATTTCAATAAGTTTTCTGTTAAGAATTACAAGCTCCATAGTTTTAAAAATAAATTCTCAGCTTAATTTCGATAATGGGAACTTGTATTCAAGAAAATATGAACCACTATTAAAAAGATTTGTAGTAGTTTTAGTTTTTAAATAATCCAAAGACAATTTTTATTATTAACTCAACTACCTATAAAGACACTATAGTGAGGTATAATAGAATAGGAAAGGTCTCGTGCAGATGTATGAAGTAATAAACTTTAGATCACTTTTGTTGGAAAGGTCCCAACTCCCATAAAAATTTCATTTGTGAGAGTAACACGGGAAAGTTTGGTTACAATTATGTGATGTGTTATGCAGCCCTTAACGTTTTGTTCTATAGAGAATGAGATTATGTGGTGCAAGTTATTTGTTACGCATTGTTCTTATTATTTGATCTGTATATTATCTGCATATTTTTAGCATCCATGACTACATGTTTGAGGAGAGTGTATGCCTGCTTTTGAGAGCTTCATGGTATATACCATTGGTTGTTGAAGACCGGGAAGAAACCTATGATGATCCTGAGGAGTACTATCCGTATGAAGATGATGACGAAGAGCTTGAGGAAGATTACCTGGGTGCATCCTCAAGTCTTCGCATCGGCAACCGTAGGTGGGGGGACAATGGTTATGTGAGGGCAGGTCGACAAGAAGCACGGCCAATTTTTAGGCCAAGTGTTCCAGAGTTTGCTGCGGCTAGCTCATCACGCGAGCCTACAAAGAAAGATGCTTCTAAAGATAAAACCGGTCGACGAGCTAAAAGAGCTTTAAAACGGGAAGCTGCCGATAAAGCAGCAGCAGCAAAGCATCAGGAACATCTAGCTAGGTTGGGTCGGAATTGATTTTATGTCCAAGTTCTTGTGTAGAATAAACCTTGTGGTTTGACCCCATGTGTACAGGTTCTAAGATTTAATTTTCTTTTCTATAGTTGATGTCCCAATGAAATCCTAGATGGGGATTATACTTGAAAAGGTGTAAATGAGGCCTTTGGATTCTTTGTATTCTTAAAACATTGGATTCCATAATCTTCAGGAAGACACAGTAGGCCTTGTAGATAGGTCGAAGTTGAGACTAGAAGTCATTTGGTGTGTGTAAGTGGTTAGATAATTACAATATTTGTAACATTTTCAATTCTTTTAAACTTCATTTCTTCCTTGTAAATTTCACTGTCAAATATTTGAGAAAATGAAAACGTGTGAGAGAATTACACAGTAAAAGTTGTGAGATTTAGGATGAATATGGGATAGTTATTTATGATTTGTAACACATAAAATGGGACTGCACTATAAATCTTTTTAAATCACGTTTATAAATCTTTTTCTTTTGATGAGAATTTTGACACTGATGACTGAGGTTCTTCTCTCTCTTCTGTGGACATATGGTTAAAAAGTTTACAGTTATTTATTTTATTTTATTTTCTCTTTTTTTTTTGGATTCACCTCTCTTAATTATCAGTTTTTTAACAGCAGAGTAGGCATGTAATATCTATTAACCACTAATTAATTCTTAATAATTTTCTCTCTTATATTTATTTTCTCTGTTTGTTTTTTTGTTTTTTTTCTTTTCTTTTTGAGAAAATTGCATGTCAGTTTCTTGACAATGGTAGGTAATATCTATTAACCACTAATTAATTCTTAATAATTTTCTCTCTTGTTTGCTTGTTTTTCTTTTCTTCTTTTTGAAAAAAATGCAAAAACCAGATAAAAACTATAGCAGTGGTTGCAATTTCAACCTTCAACTTTAATTTAATTGTAAAAATTAAACCGTCCACTTTCATGGGTTTAAAAATTGGATCCTTTTGCATATATGGTTAAAGAAATGCGATGAGAAAGAAAGTTCTTTCTTTTTTCTTTTGCTTTTATGGAATGGCAGGTCAAGTGGAAAGAAATTCTATCTGGCCTTGCCTTGCCTTCATTTTTGTCTCTGCTTTCTCTGTTTTCTGTTTGTTCGTTTGCTTGATTTTCTGCAATCTGATTTTCCTTTTGCATATATGGGTAATGGGTTATAAGTTATAACTTCTTGCTTTGCTTGCATGGGTTTTGTCTGATTTTGTCTCACTTCCCTTATTAGACCAGGCTTCCTGTGTTCTCATGTTTTGTCCTAATTTTTTACACCTTTTCAAGTATATTCCCCATCTAGGATTTCATTGGGACATCAACTACAGAAAAGAAAATTAAATCTTAGAACCTGTACACATGGGGTCAAACCACAAGGTTTATTCTATACAAGAACTTGGACATAAAATCAATTCCGACCCAACCTAGCTAGATGTTCCTGATGCTTTGCTGCTGCTGCTTTATCGGCAGCTTCCTGTTTTAAAGCTCTTTTAGCTCGTCGACCGGTTTTATCTTTAGAAGCATCTTTCTTTGTAGGCTCGCGTGATGAGCTAGGCGCAGCAAACTCTGCAGCACTTGGCCTAGAAATCCGTCGTGCTACTTGTCGACCTGCCTCCATATCCATTGTTCTCCCACTTACGACTGTCGATGCAGAGACTCGAGGATGCAACCCAGGTAAGCTTTCTCAAGCTCTTCATCATCACCTTTATACAGATAGTACTCTTCAAGATCATCAAAGGGTTCTTTCTAATCTTCAACAATCAATGGTTTATACCATGGATCTCTCAGAAGCAAGGTACACTCTTCTCAAACATGTAATATTAAGGATGCTAACAGTATGCAATAATATACAGATCAAAGAGTAAGAACAAATGCATAACAAATAATTGACACTACATCATCTCATTTTCTATAGGATATCATGTTAAGGGCTGCCTAATCACATCACATAATTATAATCAAGTTTTCTTGTGTTACTCTCGCAGATGTAAATTTTACGAGGTTTGAGACCCTTTTAACAAAAGTTGTCCTAAAGTTTATTACTTCTTACATCTTACACTTGACTTTTCCTATTCTATTATATCTCAGTATAGTGTCTTTATAGGTAATTAAGTTCATAATAAAAATTGTTATTGGATTATTTAAAAACTTAAACTAGTTCAAATCTTTTTAATGGTGGTTCATATTTTCTTGAATATAAGTTTCAATTACCCAAATCAAGTCAAGAATTTACTTTTAAAACTACGGAGATTGTAATTCTTGAAGAAAATTTTTTGAAATATAGATAATTGAAATTTTTTTAAGAAATTAAGCTTTCATAAAGGGGAAAATGAAAAAAATAATAAAGGGCAATATTGACAATAGATATTTTACGTGATGGAGGAGATAAAGTGAACTTATATTATTATTATTTTCCTATGAAAAGTGTATCATTGTTTTTCCTCAAATTTGTGCAGAAGAACAGGTAAACATGCATGACTTAAATTTCCGATGCTATGACCCATCGCCATATTTTTCCTTGTATGAATTGCATATTGACTTTTCTACCCTTTTCGATGTAAATGGTAAGAGAATCACATATCTATCTCATGCTATATTATTGATGAATGATTTCATATTTGTAGTACTAATCACATTTTAAAAGATATTATTAAATAAACGAAAGGGTGATTAGGAAAGCAAATAAGCCAATAGCTAGAAAATCACTAGAAAATATGTGTGCACATATCTCCATCAAGAGAATGGTGTAGAATCATGAACTCAAATGGATGCTTACATTGTAGACAAGTCGGTTTCTGAGTGTACGAGGTCCATCGAAAGATGCAAGTGCACTTCACGAAGATAAGATAATAAATAAATGAAAGAAGATAATTTCCTTATGTAAAACTATGGAGGCAATCTCATTTCACAAGCAAAACCAGGAAAATTTTTCCAAGACTGAGTGGTTACAAAACAACTGCCAATTCTATTAACCATTTGCCTTTTTGATTTTTGTTTGGTTTAATTATTCCTGATAAATTCCCCAGCTGAAAGTGAAAAATACACAAAGCTTTCCCTGCAACAGTAGTATGAGAAAACTTTCCCAAAGCAAGTATAAAAACATAAAAAACCATGAAATTCATCAAAGTATCAAATGAAATGACACTGGAGTTGCGGAAAGGTTGACTAGCTTGGTACGGTATCGTGACATCATTTTCTAATCATCTAAAGTCTTGTTTAACATATGTTTGTAGACTCGAGTTCTAATGACAAATAATTGTTCAATATGTGTTTGAGACGTATCTATTATACTTACAAATGTTCAATTGTATTTGATAAATATCCAATTCAACAAGTGTTTGACACATGTCTATTGTACTTAACAAATGTAACATTGGAGAATCCAATGCAGCTAGAACACAGACACACTACTTAGTCATTAAATCTTGACTAGGATGATAGAATCTTATCTAGTTTCATCAAACAAATCTTTGAACTTCAATAGTTAATACACTCCCAAAACTAAATAACTGTTAAGTTTTTGCAAGTTTCTGGTACTTCATTTTTTTTTTCAAAGAAAATCATATTATAAATTAACCATCCTTCTGTGCCTTACATTTCTCTAACTCTAAGATGCTTCGGCCATGGATCTAATATAGCGTTTCCAGGAATCCAATTGAGAATGTGGAGCCAAGAGATGCTGCAGAGTCAAAAAGATCCTGAGTGCAGAGCGCTGCTATGGAGGGCCATGGCACTGGTTCGAGGCAGAACTTCAAGTTTGGATTTTTGTCAACTCTTTTTGTACGAGGGTGTTGTAGTGAGAGATTAGTTTGTACTCTAGAAAGAGATAGAGAGTGTTATTATTGTTGGGCATTTTCGAGAAAAAAGTGAGAAAATTTATTCTTGAGCCATTGTAAACTTTTGTACTATTTCTGGTTAACATTTTAGTGGAACCTGCCAGGTTAACATTTTAGTGGAACCTGCCACATTAGCAGAGAACTGGATGTAGCCCATATTGGGTGAACCAGTATAAATTTGGTGTGAATCTCTCCTCTCTTTTTTTTAATTTATTATTGTTCTTGTTGCAAAATTTTAGTTTGATTTATCTATTTTTTAAGATGTGAGTTCCAATGATTAAATTTTGCTATAATTAGAACTAGGACCTGATATAGTACGTTTATAATTGATAAATATATAATTTTATCCCTAACAAAACTTGCAAGTACAATTAGAAACATTAAACCAAAGTTCTCGATAATTAATTTGTCCACAACAAACTATACATATATATAATTTCTTTCTTTCTGTCAGATTAATTTCCATCTGTCGCATTCATCAACCCAAAAAACATGGATCATTCGTGCAGATTGATCCAACAATTGTGCTTGGACTTGCTAGGCAGCAGCCTTCCTAGTTCCTTACAAGGTTAAGAATTTTAGGCCCATTTTCCTGGAATTCAAAATATTTCCGCAAACTTTCTCGACTGCCAAACAAGTTTTTCCTTCCCAGAATAGTCAAAACAGTTCTGCTCACCAACGAGACCAACTTCTTCATCACCCAAAGATTTAAGTATCAACTGGAAAATTTGTCTTGCAATCAAGCTTGGTTGTTCCAACTAACAATCTCAAGCTCTCAAGTTCTGCATTCCCAGCCCTTCTTCTTCTTCTTATTCGCTTGCAGCCATGAAAATCCCTGCAAACAATTGAGCTTGAAATCACCCAACAATGGCGGTTTGCTTTCCAAAAGGAAGCATAGCAGACGACTCCGCCACCCTTTTCTCAACATCCAACTCACCAGAGGAAACCACCAGCGTTTCTTCCTCTTCTTTTCACCACTCTCCACCACCACCCGATGCTTCCATTTCCACCAAGAAACTTTCCATCAGGAGTCTCTCATTTTCTGTTCTTCCAAACAGGTCCATACCCACGTCATTTTCTGAGTTGATCCGAGGACCGAAGCCCATTAATGTTCTCAAGTCTGTCTCATTTGTGGCAAGAAGTTCTCAAATTCTCGCCATTGTTGGCCCAAGTGGAACAGGCAAATCTTCTCTGCTCAGGATCATATCAGGGAGAGTGAAACAGAGGGATTTTGACCCCAAAGCAATCTCCATTAATGATCAATGGATGAACAGTCCTGAGCAGTTGAGGAAGTTGTGTGGGTTTGTGACACAAGAAGACAATTTGCTTCCTCTTCTGACTGTGAGAGAAACCTTGATGTTCATGGCCAAGTTGAGGCTCAGAGAATTGGGTTCAGAAGAGAGAGAAGAAAAAGTGGAGAGGTTACTGCAGGAGCTTGGTCTGTTTCATGTGGCAGACAGTTTTGTAGGAGATGAAGAGAAGAGAGGAATATCTGGAGGGGAGAGGAAAAGAGTTTCAATTGGAGTTGAAATGATTCATGACCCACCAATTCTTCTGCTTGATGAGCCAACTTCAGGCTTAGATAGCACTTCTGCTCTTCAAGTTATTGAACTTCTCTCTTCAATGGCAAGAAGGAATCGAAGAACTGTGATTCTCTCAATCCATCAACCAGGCTACAGAATCCTTCAATACATTTCCAACTTCTTGGTTCTCTCCCATGGTTTAGTTGTTCATTTTGGAAGCCTCAAATCACTAGAAAAGAGGATTGGTGAAATGGGAATTCAAATCCCAATTCAACTAAATGCCCTAGAATTTGCCATGGAAATCATAGATAAACTAGAAGAAGATTCAAACCCCCCAACAACTACCCAAATTGAAGAAGAAGAAAACCAGCTCTTCTCCTCCCCACTTTGGCCTGATGAAGTCATTGACAAAATCCCAAAACACAACAACAGCAGACAGATATCGATATTTTATTCTTCACATTTGCTAGAGATTATGTTTCTGTGCTCAAGATTCTGGAAGTTAATATACAGAACAAATCAACTACTTCTAGGTAGAACATTGCAAGCCATTGTAGGAGGAATTGGGCTTGGAAGTGTTTACCTGAGAGTAAAAAGAGACGAAGGAGGAGTTGCAGAGAGATTGGGCCTCTTTGCTTTCAGCCTCAGTCTCCTTCTATCTTCTACAGTGGAAGCCCTCCCAATTTTCCTTCAGGAAAGAAGGGTTCTGATGAAAGAAGCCTCGAGAGGAGTCTACAAAATCTCCTCTTACATGATAGCCAACACCATCGTCTTCCTCCCGTTTTTGCTCGCCGTCGCCGTCCTCTTCGCCGCCCCAGTGTATTGGCTCGTAGGGCTAAACCCCTCAATCGGCGCCTTCGCCTTCTTCACCTTCGTGGTTTGGCTCATCGTGATGATGGCGAGCTCGCTGGTGCTGTTCCTCAGCGCGATCTCGCCGGATTTCATCACCGGAAATTCCTTAATCTCCACCGTCCTCGGCGGATTCTTCCTCTTCTCCGGCTACTTCATTCCGAAACAAAACATTCCCCGATATTGGATTTTCATGTACTACATATCGCTGTATCGGTACCCTTTGGAGGCGATGGTGGTGAACGAGTATTGGGGCGCGAAATCTGAGTGTTTCTCGTGGGCCGATGAAGGGCGGCGGCGACTCTGCGTGCTGACCGGCGACGATGTGCTGAAGAACAGAGGGCTGGAGGAGGATATCCGGAGGATGAATGTGGGGATTATGATTGGCTTCTTCGTGTTCTATCGATTTCTCTGTTGGATTATTCTTGCTCGTAGGGCTTCCTCTACAACTATATGATTTTTGTCATGAACATGTTTTTTTTTATTATTATTAAACTTTTAATTCATGCACTTTAAATTAACTTTTATCAATTTTGATTCTAATAGCATATTCTCTAACTAAAAAACCATAAATTTGAATTCTGGTCGTTTTAGCAAAAATTGGTTCTAATATATTCCAATAGGATCATATTAAATAATGATTTGCCATAACCTATAAGAAAAAAGTCAACTAATTAGATAAAATAAAGAATAACAAGTTAGAAATTTTTTGTCAAATGCGAACATTGGTATATATCTATATCTATAACTTAGAGTCTGTGAATTTGATTCTCATCCTCACATGTTATACTTGTTGAATATTTTTAATAGAAGAGAGGGACATGATATTCTACTTTCATTAATCCGACACATTAATATTTAAGTAACAATGTTGAGAACTTACATAGTGATGTAATTAGAATTTTTCATCCCCACATGTTATATTCGTCGAAAATTTTTAATAGAAGCGAGGGACATAATATTCGACTTTCATTAATCCGACAAATTAATATCTAAGTAATAGTGGTGAAAACTTACATAGTAACTAGAATTTTTCATCAACAAAAGATTCAATGGTGTAAGAATTGAAAAAAAAAAACTTACATTTATGCTATATATGTAATTTTATCTATATACTCACATCAAATTTTTTAAATTTTAATTATGTTTCTTTAGAATTATATTATCTACTTGACTTCTTCCATATTATTATTATATATATTTTTTTGTAAAATTTAAATTTGTTTACTTTGAAAATATATAGTTATCTCATGCGGTTAATATAAATATATCTTACAAAATTCACATACCCTCATAAAGATTTTATTGCATTTACGTTGTTATTATTATTATTATTTTAATTTTGAGGAAGCATTTACGGTATGTTGTTTAGCAATAAATACACCTCACAAATTCTATGTCTAATTATTTTGGAAGTGAATTTAATATACTCTCTCGGTGTTATTAAGGGTAAAGAATACGTGTAAGGAAAGAATTAATAATTAATACAATTAATGTTTGCCAAACACATTTTAATGCCCGAGTCAAAGCATTGTTATTTTATTTTATTATTTTTTTAGTACAATATTATAAGGATGAGAATTTCAACTCACGCCCTTTTGACCAGACATAAGTGTCTTAACCCGTCGAACTATATTTTGATTGATATCAAAAGCATGGTTATTGTTAAGTAGAGTCAAATACAAAAAATAGTTTAATATTACAATGATACTAAGTATTCCCTGATTTTATAGAATCTTTACTATTTAATCTTGCTTGTTAAGAATGGCAATTTAGTGTTTAAAACACATATTATTCGTTGACTAATCAAGGATGGATAATCATTGCAACAATCCTAGATCTTCCACCTTAATTTAGGAACAATCTGCTAAAGCACCAGAGCCACTTTTTTAAGGGTGTACTTCCTCGTTAAGATGTGCGTATCCTGCCTTATTCTATTAAGAAAGATACTGTAAAATCTAGTCTACTCATAATAATTTGTTATCCAACGTGAGTCAAGACTCGCTTATGTGCTTAAGTATGGATGAAGTCAAAAATATTTTCATGAGCAAAATTTTACATGCTACTTTTGTGTGTGTGTATATATATATATATACACACTATTTCAAATTAAAAAATTAAGGGGGAGAGGAACAAATTAAAGAAAGGAAAAAAAAGTGACAAAATCTTTTGTATTATATCTTTCCAATTGCGACAAAGTAAGAGGATGATATAGCCAAACGCATAATTATTCTAGAATTTCTATATATTACCATCATCAATCTTCTTCACCCAATTGGCTTTATTCAAACAAGAATAAAAAGATCGAATCTTTCAAAATTATAATAAGCCTGAACTCTTAGAACAGTATCAAAATGACATTCTCATAGTAAAAACGCCTTCACAGATTTACTTTTAAGCACATCAAATTACCCATTATTTTTGGGTATAATATGAGCCAAAAAAATGATTAAAGCCATCCAGGTGTGGTTAATCCATTGGAAAACAAAGTTCATAGATGGAACAAAAGTAAGGGATCTTTATTCTGCTCTAAAGTGTCTGCAACGCAGTGGATTTTGATATGACACATACTCAAATTTTTGTCTGAATGCTCACTGGAAACCAAAAGAAAGAGGGAAATTATAAACAAACCAAAACAAAAGCTTAAAAATTGATCCATAAAGTTTGTCGCAATCCAGAATGTCGCACCCGAATGAGTGGCCCATCTATATATATTACCTTGGACGGCTGGTTACCACATCGATCTCCATAAAAAATCGCGACCCACGACCTTATTTTCTTTAGTTTTATAGTTTCTTTCAAAGCTTGGCGAAGCCCCCACGTTTCGCCCATTTTCTTCTCTTGGGTCCAAAGCGTTCTTGTTGAAAAAACCCTCTAAACCCAAAATCTAATCGCTCTTGACTTTTTTTTTTTCTGCACCCCCTTCTGGATTTCTGGGCTTTCTTCGGTTTCTTACACGTTTATTTCTACTGGTATGAATCAATGTCATTTCAGTTACCTGGAGCTTTCAGTTTCTTTCCATCTTCTTATTTGAATGAATTTCTCTTTTCCCCATTCCTTTTTTCTCTTGTTTTGATGTTTTGATTCTGTTTTTTACTGTTCCAGCCCAAATTTCTGAATTCCAGATCTGGGTTTTGCCATTTCGCATTCTGCCATGTTTATATACTCATGCGCTTCCTCTTCTTAGCTATATCTGTTGTCTGCTATTTTGAGGTGTTGAATTCAGTTGCATGTTTGAGAACTAGAAGATTGTTGAGTTCTTGTAGCCGCCATTGATGTAGCTTCATTAGTTCTAGTGCTCCTCACATTCTCTTCCTTTGGTTATTGGTGCAGCATTCTGTGAAATGACAAGCTGCTAAGGGATCAAGAAACCGAAACCGATGATTGGGAGGAAAACTTCACCAGCTCTTCTGGTGCTTTTTGCGCTTGGGTTTCTTTTTGCTACTTATAACTTGCTTACCATGACCATTCACAATAAAGCTTCCAAAGGGAGTTGGGTTTCAGATGGGTTTGATCCAGTTCTTCGATTGCCGGGCAGGGCAGGGAAAACCAATTCAAAATACCATGTGGCTGTCACTGCAACTGATGCTCCTTACAGTCAATGGCAGTGCCGGATCATGTATTATTGGTATAAGAAAGTGAAGGATATGCCTGGATCTGACATGGGAAACTTCACTCGAGTTTTGCATTCAGGAAGGCCAGATAATTTAATGAAGGAGATTTCTACTTTTATTGTTGATCCTTTGCCAGAGGGATTGGATCGGGTGAGAATCTGTTGTTCTTTTTGGTTATTGTTCTTGTTTTAGTAGATTCTGCAGATGCTCTGCTTCAGACTTAACTGGTCTTACTTACTGTTAAGCTCATTTATACATTGGTTTTTTGTCTGGTTGATCTTCTCTTTGGTTTTGTCTGTAACGATGGTTGAACTTAACGCATCGAATATCGATGAAAATTTCAGGGTTATGTTGTTCTAAACCGACCTTGGGCTTTTGTGCAATGGCTGGAGAAAGCAAGCATTGAAGAAGAGTGAGATGGTTTCTGGGTTTTTCTGGTAAAGCTTTTCTTTCTTTCCATTCTTGATGAAATCTGAGGATGGGTGGCTTTTGACTGATGCAGATATATACTAATGGCAGAACCCGATCACATATTCGTGAATCCTTTACCCAACTTGGCGCATGGAAAGAATCCTGCTGGATTTCCGTTCTTCTACATAAAGCCAGAGGATCATGAGAAGATCATCAGGGCATTCTATCCTGAGGAGAGTGGTCCAGTGACCAACATTGATCCAATTGGAAATTCTCCAGTAATCATTGAAAAGGTAAAATTTTGAATTTGTTTGGACTGCTCATGAACTTACTTGATTGAGCAAAGACTGAATTAGATGAAAATGCACATTGTTACAGTTGGTACAGCTTACATGATCATTATATTGTCCTGCTTTTTCAAGGATGATTGATAGTTCTGAATCTACTGATCGCGTTTTCTATATTAGACACTGCTGGAGGAGATCGCACCGACATGGGTGAACATATCCTTGAGAATGAAAGACGATCCCGCTACTGATAAGGCATTTGGTTGGGTGCTCGAGATGTGAGTTCTACTGATATTTTTCATCAAAGTTTAACGTTGTGGTAATAGGCTTGGGATCGGAATCAGTGTAACCGCTCTTGATGTCAGATGACTCCCTTCTTGTAGGTATGCTTATGCTGTAGCCTCTGCATTGCACGGTGTGCGGCATACTCTCCGCAAAGATTTCATGCTGCAGGTTTCACCTATTTTGAGAGTTCCATCCATTAGTTATGATCTTTCTGAAACCATGAATAGATTATTGATCTTTGGCTGTTAAGTTTTTCAGCCTCCATGGGATTTGGAAGTCGGTAGGAAATTCATCATCCACTATACCTATGGATGTGACTACAATATGAAGGTATTGAACCGTAGCTGATGATCGAACGCCATTTAGTTTTGGACTATTTTAGTGGTACGCACTAGGTAGTCTAATCTTAACTCATGCTCGATTCACAGGGTGAACTGACATATGGCAAGATTGGGGAGTGGCGCTTTGACAAGAGATCGTATCTCAGTAGTCCTCCACCAAGAAATCTTTCCTTACCTCCTCCCGGAGTTCCCGAAAGTGTAGTAAGTCTCTGAAACCTCATCTCATCTTCTCCAGAATCTGTCTGAGAAACTGCGGATTAGAATCAATAACCTGTTAATGGTCTTCAGTTTGTCAAATCCCATTCGAACATATCCAGTATAATATGAAGATTTCACGTAGAAGATACTAGGGTTCATCCACTAGCAGATTTTAGTTCCTTCCATTACCAGAACTAACAGAAGCTTTTAAAACAGTAAAGATAAGTCAATTTTTCCCCCTTAGACCCTTCGATCGTCGCTCTTGACTTGTAGCTCCATCATTTCACTTTGGTATGTTCTTCATCACGGATTCATATTTGTTTCGTGTTCCTGAACAAGGGAGACAAATTAGCCAAATTTGGATTGTGTTTCAATAACAACTCTGGGCAGTGGTTCAAACTTCGTATTTCCTTCTACATACTCCGTTTTTACGCTTGTCGTAGCCTTCGGTTTTTCTTTTTTCCTTCAATGTCGTTGTCGTTGTCGCTCTTGGTGAGTCGGGACGATATTTATTTCATGTGTTTATGTGATTAGAAGTGATTTCTCCAAGTTTATAGATCTCTTGTTATGATTTTGGTTTTGCAGGTAAGGCTTGTAAAGATGGTAAATGAGGCAACTGCAAATATACCTGGTTGGGGCACATAATAAACTGGTGTGACTTTTGTGGGAAGTTAACATTAATTAAACCTTAGTTTTGTAACTGATAATACACTTTTGGCAGCAAAATCATGGTGGGCTTGTGTGATGGAAGTCATCAAAATACCAATCAACTTGAGAAGAGAAAAAACAGTATAGAGAGAGAGAGAGAGAGAGAGAGAGAGAGAGAGAGAGAGAGAGAGAGATTGTAATGTGTGAAAATAAAGAGTTTTTCTTTTTCTTTTGAGATAAACTAAATATACCATTAAATTTTTTTGCACAGTATATTAGATTATACAAAGTCTTCTCTTCTTTATTTGTAGTATAATATTATAATATTTATGCTCCCTTAAAAGACCATCATTTTTTTTCCCAAGGCAAAGATATATTCCAAGAAAAAGAGGGATCTCATCTCACGGTGCACATAGGAAACAAAGAGACCCGGCAAAAATGCTACAAAAACATGAACAAAATACACAAATGGCATAAGAAACACAATATATATTAGAACCAAGAAAAATATAACCACCTAATATGAAAATAAATCTCAAATAAGCTCTATCAATGGCCGAATTTAAAACGAATGCTATCTTGCTAGTACGTCGAAGAGACACTCCAGACCCTCGTCTCTGGTAGAAATTGTCTAAATAAAATCCATATGCATCCACCGAAATATCTAGGACAATCGGGCTAAATAACCCTTTTCAAAGGCCCATTATAAAATGTGGCCCCTCTTCTCATTTTTATGTTTTTGTAAATATTTGCTGACATTAATTTTGTGTGAAAATACGTATTTACCCTCTTCATTTTTTCTCCAACTTAAAACCCCGCCTCTTCCCATTCTCATTCTTTTTTCTTCACCTTCTCTCAAAAAACAAGCAACAAGCTCCACTTACGATTTTTTTCCGATGAGCGAGAGCGACAGGAGCAATAGCCTTTTTTTGTGTGTTATGTTTTTTTAGCCTTTTTTTTGTGTTCTGTTTTTTTTTTTTTTGTGGGGGGTTTGTGTGGAACTCTTTGTTCTTGATGTTCTTTGTTGATTTTTTACTTCTCTGTGTGACCCGTTCTTTTGTATGCTGTGTTTTTGTTAATTTATTTTTTGAATTTTAAGCTCCAACAATGGAGTCAAGCAAGATTGAGAGAAGATGAATGAAAAATAAGAAAGAGAGAGGAGAGAGAAAAGTGAGTGCCTTCAAAATCACAACAAAAAAATCCAAAATCAAAGGATAACAAAAAAAATTGAATGGGATGTGGTGTAGATAAAAATGGAAGAAAGAGAGAGGGAGAGGGAGGAGTGCACGTCCTTGAAAAATATAGTGAAAAAAAGAATCAAATCACAAGATAGACGAAAATGATCTCTAGAGAAATAGAAGAATGAATAAGAGAGGAGTTGAGAGTAGGAGGAAAGAGCCGAAAAAATAAGAGATAAGATAACAAAGGGTAATTTGTAATTTAACGTAAAAGTGACGTAAACAGATTTGTTAGAAAACATAAAATTTGGAGTATGAAATGAGTAATACATTTCATAGTTGGCCTTTGAAAAGGCTAATTCAGTCCAATTTTCCAAACATCCAAGTGAATTTTTAAGCCTGGTGATAATTTTTAAGAAACTTTTTGCATGTTTTATCTACAAGCCTTCCAAAAATATGCTCAACACACTTCAACATGGAATAAGTAATGAAATAACAATACATTCATAAAAACTATTAATATTTCCACCAATATTTTCATGAATGTCTCTTGTATACTGGATAAATATCAGTGGGATATCACTAAAAATATCATTGCAATATAAAATGAATATAACAACTCATCTCTACTACCAACATACCAACTGCACAACCACAAAGAAGGCAGACATGGAAAAAAATAAAATAAAATTATGACACAGTGTAGGAAGAAGTGGAGAATTTAGAACTGTTAAATATGCAACAAGTCCACATGGATCCTGTAAAACATGTTCACAGTGACAAATATTAACGAATTATCATACTCCTAGAGGCACAATTAAACATCAGAGTCTAAACATCGCGTCGTTTTGGAGCAGCACGGTGCGACAATATTCAAATAGAACAATACCATCATTCACTTTCTTCATTTCACTAGTAGATTCTAACTTAGATAGCAAGGATTTAGTAAGCCTTTGCCATTAGTCCATACACTAGGATTGATATAGTAGCAAAAATGTTAGCAACGAAACACCTATGCTGGAAGTTACCAGAAATCCGAAACTCGATGATGTACATATATTTACTACACAATAAGTAGACGGGACTACGTATATCTATACAGGAGATGGATGCTCGGATGAAACGCTGTAATGGATAAATGTATTTGATTGCCAGATAGCAAACGCAGTACCTACAAAGAGTATTTTTCAGACCTTGGGATGCCCTTTTTCAGTTCTTTGCAGGTTCCAACAAAACCATTTCACATTGCTAAGCCATCCAAATTGAATTGCAGGTTGCTGAGGGAGAGACTGAAGCTGAATAAGTTGCCTTCTATAAGGAATTAGCAAATTCTTCAGACCTGTCATATTTGTCATACAATAAAGAACTATAACAAAGAGCGAATCACATAAACAACATACTCCTAAAAAAATAACATTCCCTAACCCCACGAGAAAGAACAAGACACATTGCCTCGTGGTGTTAGGGAATGTGGAGTATAAACGAATCTAGACACTTTCGAATGATAAAATCGAAATATGTGATACTTTGACGTACCTGAGACACACATGGTCCGGTAAAGAGTAGCGATATGAGCATCTCCTTTTGTAACCATATTAGGCCTCTCTAAGCACTCGAGAAATGCCAAATCAGCCTTTAACAATTCCGCTTGATTGTGAGTGTCATAACCAATATCATGGCAATAACAACAGAAATCCAGCCAATCAATAGGTCGTTTATCCCAAACGAGAGACCCGTTATCTTTTCCGCTAGACCAATTTGGACCACAGTAATGTCCATAACGTGGGAACAGCTGAGAAAGAAATGCTCTTACACCCGTATGCCACGGAACTTTACAAACATATGGTTTAAATCGTAATGGGGTTTCTCCACCACGGTTCTCAATAGCCCTACGATGTTTCACTTGCCTTTTCAAGTTTCTATTAATAGTAGTTTTTGCTATAATGATATCCCCAGCATTGGCATTGTTTTCCCAAGGAAGAAGTGAAAGAAGGGAAAATCCCCATATCTTAATATCAAAACGAGTATTTTGATGGCCTTGCTCCACAATGGCGGTTGAAGTTTCAAGGATTGGACCTAAATCTTTGCTTCTCCGGGCCCTAAACCAAGGAAAATCACGAAGAAATTCCAAGTTCATTGCTGATAACTCAAAAACTCATGGCCAGATTTCACAAAATGGACACCATAAGACCTGCCGAGCATTTGTATATCAACAGCAAATAATCAGGATACGAGTTTTAATCTTTCAATACAAGAAACAAAAACTGAGTTGACATGGTCACCACCAGCTTCAAAAGCCGAACAGACATCACAAGAAAACAGTGTAACGTTGTAGAAGCAAACTATTGTGAGATAGAACCGTAGAAGAAGAATTCATCAGAATGGTAAGATATTTGAAGAATAAAATTTGAAAAATTAAGAAAAGGGCAGTAGCTCCGGAGTGACTAAGCTGAATTCTAGTCCAGCAAGTTCCGAGCGACAAAATAGGGAAAAAAAATAGCGAGAAAGGAAACTTTAATTCAATTTACTGCGTTTACCCATGTTTTTCTCGACAGCCAAACAGATTAATTCCTAACGACCGAAAAGGAAAATGAAAAAGGGGATCAAGAACTACATACAATGAATCCACCGAGTGAGGAAGAAGAGACTTGACTTTGAAGGAATCCGTCAACTGCCAAAGTAGATGGAGAACGTTTCCTTCCAATTAGAATCCAGAGTATAACGAAGAGAAGATTCTTGCAAGAAAATTTTCTCGGGAAAATTCCTCTCCATGTCTATTGAAAAATTTGTGGTTCCTTGCAGATTAGCCAATTCGTCGCTCTACCGACCACTCGCAATTAATCCAGAATCAGGATGGTGGGCCCCAGTGGCAGCTGCTGTAATTATCGGTGCAACTCAAACATGCTTTAAATTTAATTTTGGATTTTACATATTTTACCAATAATTTAGACTTAAATACAAAAGGGCAACTTCGTCCTTATAAATTTTAGAGAAGATTAAATGTAATCTTTTCGCCATTTTTGTCTATCCGGATGAATATCTATCCAACCAGTTAAGTATCCGTTGGTAAGGTTTTTTTTTTAATATTTTAATAATAAGTGGAAAATAGATTTTAACTCACAATTTATTAGTTAGAGATATGTACCAATTACCATTGAGTTAAGTTATTTAATAATTTTTTACCATTTTTTAAAGAAAGCATAGCTAATAATAAATTATGAATTTGAATCCTCTCCCCAACTATTGTACTAAAAAAAATAAAAATAAAATTTTTTTTTTACCATTTACCATGTTGATTTAATTTCATGCTACCCACCCATCACTTTTAAATACAAATTAAACTAATAGTAAAAAATCTATTAGATATCAAGTTAAAAAATTGAAGATCTATCAAAAAAAATTAATTATATGTAACTTGTACATATTATTTTGAAAGTTTTTGTTAAAAAAATTTAAAATGTATAGACTAAACAAACACCCTCTAAGTTCATAAACCAAACTTAATTTAGAGAGAGACACATACTCAACAAAATTTAGAGTATTGGTGTGTCTCGTATTCATTTATATGTATATAGTAGTTTAATTGTCTAAGTTTCAAAACTACTTCAAGATTTCTACGAGACATTCAATGAAAAGAAAAGAAAAGAAAAAAAAAGAGTAATGGCTACAAAATTATTTTTAATGCATAGTTTAATATATTGATAGTTGCAACTTCATACTACAAGGTAACAATTACGCGTAAATATTTTCTCTTAGTTTAACGAATAATACAGAAGTGAAGTAACAATTATTTATAAAATGTTAATCGAAAATTAAATATGTCATGTCACTTTCTCGTTAGTTCTTAATTTAAGTTGTCTAGGCCAAAAAACACAAGCTTGATTTATATATATATATATTTTTCTTTAAAATTATGTTTAAATCATACTTGAGCATGATGTACTTTGGTAGATAATACTTTTAGTCATACCAAAAATATTCCTAAAAATAGAAAACTTGAGAGGCTAAACTGTAAATTTAAATAGTCACCAAATTTGGAACCCATAATAAACTACAGGAAGTTATTTCAGTATTCATTTTTCGTTGGCAAAAAAAAAAAAAAAACCATGTATTTAACCAGGTCTGGTTTAATTTTATCAAATATAATTCTATTAGCGAATTAAGGATGATTTGATAATTTATCAAAACTAGATTATATAATTACACATGATCCAATTAATCTATCACACACAAATTCAAACAAAAACAAAATACTCAAAATTAAAGTTATGATATGCCAATGCAACTATAAGGAAAATTAGACCTAGCCATGAAATCAAATAGAAATTGCTAAAACATGTGCAATGCAACTTGTCATAAATTAAAGATAAAAGCGCTTTAGTTCATTTTGATTAATTATTTTTACACAGTTCATTTTTCGACTTTAATTTATTTTAATCCTGTATTTCAAAAATATTTGTTTTGATCCATGTAATTTAAAAGTGATCGTTTTAATCTTCATTTGCAAAATTTTAATACAAATTTTAGGTCTACAAAATACGAAAATTCTATAATATAAAGTTGTAATTGCAAATCGAATGTAATGTCATATTGAAAATGTGATTGAAAAGATGAAACTAAAAATAAAATTAAAAAATTAAAATCGTCACTATCTAAAACTATAAGGATCAAAATAAATATTTTGAAAGTAAAAGAATAAAAATGAATCAAAGTTTAAAGTGTATAGACTGAAATGAACTGAGAAATACGGAACGAGCCCGATCTTTATCTCCACAATAAAGGGAGAACGAAAATAATATTCTAACCTAAAAAAAATAAATACAAATTTAACTAATGGACAATATTAAATTTTCAAAACAAAACCCAATAAATCTTAAAATTTAAAAATGGAAGCAATGCTTAAAAAAAGAAAAAAAAAAATGTTTTCTTGTTGGTCCCACGTCCATTCCTATTTAAGACAAAGACTTTCGGCCCATTCTCAATCCTATCCTGCGGTCATCATCACGACTGTCGCATTAGGATATCTACGGCTGTAACTCTACTATCCGAATTCCCTAAAAAGCCACCACCCTGTCGATTATCAACACGTGTCCATCGCGATCAGTCGTAGCGAATAACGATGAGAGTCTCATTTGGACGGAGTGAGCCCGTCCGTATCTGATCACTTTTCCTCGCATTATTATTATTTTATTCTGGAACGATATTCGACGAGCCTTTAAACATTGAAGGAACGAACGCGGAGCATCGTTTGAGAGGCTGCGAGACC